CATTGATGCTTCAAAAAGTTGATGAACATCAATACAAAGTCGTATTTACCCTTGGTATCTGAGGGTGTATTCACACCTGCCTTGTTTGGGCAGGTGTGAATACAGCAATCGAACTCGGGTGCGGACCAAACAACCGAACCGAGACCCAGCTGAAGAGGTGGTCTCGGTACGGTTCCAAACGAACTCTGGTACGGATCGTTTACGGTGTGAACATGAACTGACCCAATTGCAAGAAAGCACTGCGCCTTTGAGTTAACAGGCTTCCGTAGTCGGAGATTTTGGCATAATGGTTTGTGTTATTGTTGTTCAAGTGCAAAAGAGAATTCCATTCCGGCGCGCTGTCTGGCCACACGATACTGTTGCGCGTCTTTCTGCGCGTCGTGTGTGTGCATCATTGGAATGGAATGAATGAAGGAGTGTGTGCATCAGGACATTCACATACAGAGCGTTCTCTTTAGTCTAATCGCGCATAGATGCAGAAAAAGCTTTTGCAGTTCATATAATGTAACAATAGTTACAATACAAGGATGATGCTGCGTTAAACTGGACAAACTTAATCGCAAGCGTTAACATTGACAGCACTTGTTAGCAGTATATACAATAAGAATCTCATTATTTGAAAGTGTGAACATAGCCCCTCTATATGAATGAACTTTATACCTTGTCCGTCTTCTGCGCAGTTTCTTCATATTGCGTTTGTACAGAATAACACAAAACTAGTAAAATAACAAATATTGCAGTACGAAATATCTCCATGCTGAACCTTTTTTTGCACTTCCTGATTTCCCTACTTGAGAATCCTTGTCCAATGAATGGACGACCTTAGCACACATGTGGTTTTGTTTACAAATTTGGGTTCACTTGCAAAAAGAGCAGTGTGAAAGCGAACCGTAAAAAAAAAAAAAAAAAAAAAAAAAAAAAAAAAAAATTTGGTCCGGACCAAAGCAAGTGAACTATCGGACTTTCCTGGTGTGAATACACCCTGAGTTAAGGGCCTGTCAGTAAGAAAGCATGTCGGACGCAATGGATGCATCATTTGCATTAATAGTACATTTTATACAATTAATGATTTTTTTGTTGTTGTTGTTGTTACATTTACAAGTTGCATGTACAAAATACCATTATAACAGCATCTTCATAAATTAAATAAAACACAAAAAAGTAAAAAAACACAAACTTTTGAAACACAAACAAACTTTATTTATCATTTTGTAGATGTAGAGTTTAAAAAAAAAATCTTAATTACGACATCCCAACTCATAAATACTAACCTTTTAATGATTTTCTTTTTTGGGTGAACTAACCGTCATTAATTACTCACCCTCATGTCGTTCCAAACCTGCAAGACTTCGGAACATAAATTAAGATTTTTGATGAAATCTGAGAGCTTTCTGTCCCTCCATTGACAGCTATGCAACTACCACTTTGACGCTTCAAAAACATGCGAGAGCCAATGAGGTTCATTCTCATGTGTTACACAGCACGTTTGAGCTTCCGCAAGAACCAATGAGGATTGTTCTTTCGCACCAAGCAGGTTAAGTTAAGCTTCTGTTTATGTTCGCTGAGTGTTTAAATGTGAATACTAGCCTAAATTCAACCTGTTCATCATATAAAGCGATCCATTCTCTTCAGAAAATTTGGACTAAACCGTTGTGGTAGTTGCGTAGCTGTCTAAGGAGGGACAGAAAGCTCTCATATTTCATTAATTAAAAAGATCTTCATTTGTGTTCCGAAGATGAACGAAAATCTTTGGAACGACATGAGGGTGAGTAAATGATGACAGAATGTTTGGGTGAACTATCCCTTTAATAGGCTATAATCCATCCTCACTATTATCCTGCCAAGTCATGGGATATTTGTTTGTCTGTCTGCATTTTTCTCTATGTCTCTATGCCTCTCAGGCTCCAGGAAGATGGAGCATAAGGGGAACAGCTGGCACGAGACCTGCTTTTCCTGCCAGCGCTGTCAGCAGCCCATTGGAACCAAGAGCTTCATTCCTAAAGACAACAGTAACTACTGCGTGCCCTGCTACGAGAAGCAATTTGCACTGCAGTGTGTGCACTGCAAGAAGGTAAGAACAGCTGGAATGCAACATGTGGCTTTGAATATATGTAAAGTATTAAATGATATCACACCTTTTTTGTTTCCTCTCAGCCAATCACCACTGGGGGCGTGACCTACCATGACCAGCCATGGCATAAGGACTGCTTCCTGTGTACAGGCTGTAAGCTGCAGCTGTCCGGCCAACGCTTCACCTCTCGTGATGACTTTGCCTATTGCCTCAACTGCTTCTGCAATCTGTATGCCAAGAAGTGTGCTGCCTGCACCACCCCCATTAGCGGTATGAGCGTTCAACACATTTACATCTCCTTATGTTTGGAAGGTGCTTATCAGAACTGAACGCGAGCTTATAAATCAGTATAAACACAATTAACATACTGAAAGTTGCAATGAAACAGAAGCAGTGACAGATCTTTTCTTATCTATTTTATCATGTACAGTTGCAAGAAAAAGTATGTGAACCCCTTGCAGAATCTGTGAAAATGTGAATAATTTTAACAAAATAAGAGAGATCATACAAAATGCATGTTATTTTTGTATTTAATACTGTCCAAAATAAGATATTTTACATGATTTTGTTTTTTTACATATAGTCCACAAGACAAACAAATAGCTGAATTTATTAAAATGATCCCACTCAAAAGTTTAGGGACTTTTGATTCTAAATACTGTGTCGTTATACTTGGATGACCCACAACTGTTATTTTGTCTTGTGGATTACATGTACACATTTTTTATGTAAAATATCTTATTCAGGAGAGTACTAAATAAAAAAATAACATGCATTTAGTCTGATCTCTCTTATTTTGTTAAAATTATTCACATTTTCACAGATTCTGCAAGGGGTTCACATACTTTTTCTTGCAACTGTGTATCCGAATGAAACGGATTATTGAAAAATAAATTTAGAAAGGGGTGGGGTTTAAGTGGACTAAAGTCCAGCATGTCACCAGAGAGAAATCTGTCATTTCACTGGAAGTTTGAATCGTGACATTTTGATTAAAACAGTTTTAAATGAAACAAATGCATGGATGAATATAGATGAGTTTTCATTTCATGCTGACTTTAATGTACTCACAAAAATCCCCATATTAAAGGAATAGTTTACTCAAATTTGTTTAAAATCCATAAAACTTTTTTTATCAGACAAAACTACAATTCTTTTAAGAATATCTTGGCCACTTTTTTAGTAAAAGTGATTAAGGATTGAAGCTATAAAGCTCATCTCGACAGAAGAGCTCCATGAAAGTATATTAAAATAAGTCCATATGAGAAATGTGCTATATTACTGGTATTCTAAAGCCATACAATGGTAATTATGTTAGAAACAGACCAAAAATAGATTACTTCTATCACTTTTTATGATATTTTTGTTGTGAATTTTGTCATTTGGGAGATTTTAAAATGTCCATTTTCTAATTCATCTTGATTATATTGAAAAAAGCATCCATGATATTAAAAAAACAAAACACACACCTTTAAACACAAAGGGAAAAAAGAACGTACAGGTTTTGAACGACCTTTCTGACTTCAGGACCTGTATGAATCTTCTTGTCCACACTTTAGCAAATAAAATCCATATTTCCCATACATTATTGCTATATGATCATTTTTTTATTTTTTTATTTGTACTGTCATATCCTTTGCAGGTCTAGGAGGAAGCAAATACATCTCCTTTGAAGAGAGACAGTGGCACAACGACTGCTTCAACTGCAAGAAGTGCTTGGTGTCTCTAGTGGGCCGTGGCTTCCTGACTGAGAGGGATGACATCCTGTGTCCTGACTGTGGCAAAGACATTTGATCACACAGCATAGCACTGCAATTCCTAACATTTTATTATTTCATCAAAGTTAAATAGCAATACAAGCTTTTATCATAGCTAATATATTTGTCTAATAAAAGTTTAAAGGAGCCTGTGTGTGCCAAGGCCTATTATATAATATTGTGTCATGTCTTTGTGGTCAGGGTTTAAAATGTTGCCAAACAAGAAACATATGCAGAGTGAAAATTGTTAAATGTCTTTGTTTTAGGATATAAAGACATAAAGCACAAGTGTTATTGCCTATATACCTTTTTTGTGACTAACATTTGCTTTTGACTCATCAATCAATATTTGTCATTTATAGACTGTAAAGAATTTGCTGTAGCTCATAATAAACTTCTTGAAAAGGCATTAATGAAAGTCTCAGTACTGCTTACAAGAGATCACTACAATAAAAAGTGACTGACATTCAACACATTTACTCTAAATATGCCTCAGCTGTTCTTATCTTTCAGTGAAACCTAAAACAGAACCCAAAGGTCTTATTCGTCATGCATCTGTCTCATTAAAAGCAATGTAAGTTTATTCAAATCTATTATTACCTAAGGTTCAATTTGTTATATGGAAAATATTTCATAGATCAACATCTCCAGTATGGACACATAGCCTACAAAAAAACATTGAGCATGGTGTGACACAACACAACAAAAGATAATGCGCATGAATGAATGAATGAATGGATAAATAAATGAATGAATGAATAGCTGCAGTAAAGTAAGATCATGGATGTCGTCAGATGTTGGACTAAGACACTGGCCTATGGCTCCACCTTGTGGTAAAATGTTAAATTACATTTTAATCTGCTAAATGCAGAAATACAAAATAATGAATATAATATAATATATATATGATTTTGTTTGAAAAGCCATTCGAACTTCCAGAGGGAGGCCATAACTCGAAAAGGTTTCAGGACTACAAACGTGTCAGTCTATTGTAAAATCTAACATTCTAACCAAGCACCACAGATCAAGAATAATAAGCTAATTAAAAAAAAAAAAAAAAAAAACTTTTTTAACGACATTAGTGCAAAAGCTAAATTGTAACACATTTCGCTTTCAGAATTAATTTTCATAAACGCTTTCCAATCAAAAAGCCAGAACCCACCCTCATCACGTGGCCGGATGTATTTCGGTAGAGAAACAGGAAGCGCTTACAGCAGGGAGAGAGAAGGAGAGAGGGAGGTGGAGAGTGAATGAAACTGGCAGGCCGTGAAAACGCTGCCATCTCTCAAGGACCGCACTGGCCAAGGCTGGGGTACGATATGCGCTCGGCTTTCTTTCACATCACCTGTCGCGTCACCTGCGCTGTCTGCATGCCGCAACACACAGACACACACACACACACACACACACACACACGACCAAACACGCAGGCTGTGTTTTAAAACCTAGCGAGCTGTCTTCCAGCACAGCTTTTAATATGGCATAATAGGTGCGTACGTTTGGAAAACTCCCCCCAATAATGCTGTCTAGATAGGCATCTCACTAGGTTTTGAAACGCACTCCCATGATCACCCGTAATCGAAGCACTGTCTGTCGTTCATATAATTGCTCATACTGGGCTGTTTGAGTGGATGTGAAGCAGGTGCTGGTGCTTGAAAGAGGAATCGAGTAAGTGTTTGTGTTGATGAATCTTGTTATGTTTTGCTAGCGTGGCCTTTGGCTGGTTGGACAGAAAATTATCTTGTAAATAACTTTCTAATACTGAAATGCCTTATTTGTTTTAAAGGAAGCTGATAGTATATGTCTGTAAGTAGTACTAATGCACCTGTGTGTAATACAAACCACAGGTTAATAGGCACCTGTTTTTGTGCTTGACTCTCAGAGCTGTGATTTCTTGCTTTAGATTATTCTATGATGATGAATTATGCCAATAAGTGGCATTAAGAAACCATTTTTGCGTTTCTGTTTACATGGAGGCACCCAAAGGTGTATATCTCATTATTCGAATTAAGTATATCTTTGTCTACTTAATCTTTTTTAAAATAATTTGTATTGTTAATCTAATGCCTTCATTATATTGCTCATATTTTGGGTCAGTGCAAGTCTAAAGTAACTGAATATTTTGTTTGTTTTCTCTCTTACTGAAGATGTGGAAAAGCTTTAGTTTAGGCTTGTACAGCATTATTATATAATTCTGGAAACACTTTACAATAAGGTTCATTTGTTAACATTACTAACATGTAGTAACATGTATATTAACATGTTACTATATATTAACATGTTACATTACTAACATGTATATTAACATGTTGTATTAACTAACATGAACTAACAATGAGCAAGACATTTGTTACAGTATTTATGAATATATTTGTTAATGTTAGTTAATAAAAATACAGCTGTTTATACATGTTAGTTCACAGTGCATTAACTAGGCCTAATGTTAACAAATACAACCTTTGATTTTAATAATGTATTAGTCAATGTTGTAGAAGTAGGCCTATTGTTCATTCTTAGTTCATGCTAACTAAGGTGTTAACTAATGAACCTTATTGTAAAGTGTTACCAATATTCCTAATAATATTGCTCAAACTTGTTGCTAGTGTAAGTCTAAACTCAGGTTTTGTTTCTGTTTTCTCTCCCACGGTAGATGTGGGTGGCACCATGAGCGTGAAAGCTTTTGAGCTGGTTCCCGCTGTGGAGCGGGAGCACGTGATGGGCGAAAAAGTGCGGATAAACATCGAATGCATTGAGTGCTGTGGCCAACATCTGTACCTGGGCACCAATGACTGCTTCATCCATCACTTCATACTAGAGGAGCACACGACAGCCACAGGTAAGCTGGCCTACAAAGCCCAGAAACTCCTCCAAAAATACCTGGGCCTGAAGAAGCCAGTAGCAGAACTGAAGGCCGCCTCTGCTTTGGAACGTCTAATTGTCCTCTGTGATTCAACCATCACTGTTGTGGACATGGTTACCCTGGAGCTTGTCCCCTTTGGTGGCACTAAGCTCAAAGGTGTGACTGCGTTTTGTATCAACGAGAATCCGGTGACAGGGGATGCGTTCTGTGTGGAAATGGCGGTGGTTTTGGCACGCAGAAGGGCAGTCCAGATATGTACGGTCCATGAGGACAAGGTGCTAATGTTAAAGGAAGTGACCACACCAGAACAGCCCTGTGCCCTGAGCCTGGACGGGTACAATATCTGTCTTGCCCTGTCCACGCAGTATATGATTCTGAACTACAGCACAGGAGCCTCTCAGGATCTGTTCCCTTATGACTGTGAAGAAAGGAAACCCATTGTTAAGAGGATCGGCCGGGAAGAGTTTCTTTTGGCTGGCCCAGGCGGGCTTGGTGAGTTACATGACCGAACACAACACTGATCAGTACACGTGTTAATTTTTTTTCCACCAATTTTATTCCCATTTCATTAAAAGCTAGCACCAGCATTAGGTTTTTCTTTGCCCTATTGAAGCATATTAGTCATCAGTGACATTGAGGATCTACACTTAATTTGGAGGATTTGAATCAGATCTGTGGTGAATTTTTAGAAGTGAATTAAAAAATTGTTTTTTTACTTTTTCCCCCTGATTTTCTTTCTTTGCCGTCATCAGTTGAATTGTTCAGGAGATAGTAATATAAATTTTAAATGTCTATAGAACATCTAGATAATATTCCTATTTCTATCATTTGTGTTTAGTGAGAAATTAATTGATTTTGCTACCAATAGAGTGCTGCAGTGATGGCGTGTTTTTGTAGAACAACCCAGAAGTTAGCATCACCCTCTTTTCCTCAACAAAAACCCCAAAACATTTTTTTCCATTGACTTTTGGAGAAACTCTGATTTTTGCAGAAAATAAGCTTTGCGACAAGCAAAAGTTTGTTTCTTACACGTTTTTTCCATCATGATAATCTTCATAAATCAAGTTAAAAGCTGAATGAACGTTATAAACAAACTAAACCACGGCACCGCAATTAAGCATCCCTTAACTCTTTCAGTCTTTATCCAAAAAACATTCGCCCTGTTCAAAGTTAGAGTTGAGGAGGTGTAAAGGTGGACTACCGAAGTAGTTATTGATAGTGTTAGTAAAAGTTACTTCTAAAAGTTATGCGCTACAATATTACGTTACTCTCTAAAAAGTAGCAAATTGTGTTACTTGGTTACTTTTTATCATGTGTAACTGATATGATTTTTCCGTATTCTCTGACCTAAAAAGTTAACCAATGCGAATTCCACGCGTAAATCCAAGAAAAATGTTTCGGGGGGGGGAGATGTGTGGTTAGTTACTGTATGATGATTAAAATCACGAAATGGCCTTAAACAATCACTAAATAAACTGCAAAATGTTACGTTTTCTAATACATTTATTTCATGCACGGACTGCTTCTTGACAGCGCTGCACAGGCCGTGGTTTGCCATGGTTCGAGGTGCCAAATGCAAGTAAAAATCGATGCACCGGTGAAACGGTGTTACTCGCCAGTTGCCCGGTAACTTTTTTTATGATGAATTTTGACAATGCATTGTTGTGAGAATGTGATATGGCTTAATGCAATCATCCAGGGTACCCGCGGGTCTTAAAAGCCTTGAAAAAGTCTTGAATTTGATCATCTCAAATTAAGGCCTTAAAAGCCTTGAATTTTGTATACCAAGTCTTGGATTTCGTTACAAAGGTCTTATTTATGTTTTTGCCTTTGCTAGGATTAAGTTCATACCGTAACTAAATTAACTGTTACTAATGTAGGCTAATTCAAAATGTATGCAACGTTGAGTCAGAGACAATTTTGGTTGAGTGCACCTCGCGCTCCACGTCATAGCAGAAAAAGCGATCGCGTGCGCACCCGTCACTATGGTTTCTAGGCAAGTGAGGTACAGAACAAGATAGTAGCTAGCCTAGTTTAATCCGCTGTGGCCACAAATGACAGAATTTAAACCCCAAATACGAGCTTTTCTGTTAAAAGAACATATTTTCTACCCGGTCTTTTCAATAGTATCTGGCAACCATGCGCACGCTCTCTCTCTACACTGCTGAAGCGCGGATTATCTGAAAACACAGACAAGCTGGTTGGCAACAGTTGGCATTCAGCGATCATTATTTAAAATGTTGTACTTGAATTAAAGTGTCATCCAGTCGGTCTGTGTTCTGTCACGAGCGCCGCTTGCGCTGTTTGTGCGACTAAAATGCAGGCTGATATATCCACCAGTGTTCATACGAGCAAGAATGCAATGTTTCCCGAATATCCACACGATTTCAAATGTGACATTGATTTTATACAACAGTAAAAAAGGGTAACATTAAGTGATGTACTACATTTAAAACAGCATTGTCAGGCTTATTGCTCTGTTTTGCAACGACATATGTGGCTTTGAACGAATCCTGAGATCCAATTAATGAATGACTCAAAGACTCACTCATAAAGATAGGGAGTTACCGCCACCTACTGGCGATTTTAATGTTTTTTAACATTGCAAATTTAATGAACATTGTTTTATTTAAAGCATTATTTCTGTCTTTTTTTAAGGTATTACAAAGGTAAAAAAAGGGATAATTATGTAGAACTGCACAAGTGCTACTGCTAAAGTCGTGCAATGTCAATAATTTCTCATAAGCCTAATTTAATTGGCCTAGAGAGAATAATTATTATGACATTTTCTGTCTAAAGACTACATATAAAATAACTACCAAAAGTAAAGTAACTGCAGTTTGACTAAAAGTGGACAAAAAATGCAAAGACTTTTCGTCAACTACAACTATAAAAAACTGGATGACTCAAATGTGATTAAGACCAAATAAACATTTTCGTCTTAAGACTAAATAAAAAATGGCTGCCAAAATTACACTGGCCTACATACACGTGTGCGCTACAATGCTGTTGCGTATGTATGAAATGAATTAAATAAAACATTTTACTTAAATTATCAGTCAAGTAACCTCCTTGTACATAATTATTTTCTAGGGTTTAAAATGTATACAGATTTGACATTTTCCCCTCATACTTCTGTCGGAATGGGTACGAAGTTGGCATTGAATTTCATTTGAAATGGTATTAAAAAGGTCTTAAATAGCCTTGAATTTAAGTTGGAGGATCCTGGGGGTACCCTGATCATCAGATCACAACGGTTGTGGTGTTATTATATAAATGTATAGTCTGATGCGCTGCATGTTTCAGAGTAAAGAACAACACTGTGTTCTTTTTCTGTTTAGATTCACAGTAAAGCCACTCTGCAGCCACTCTATGTGTGTTTGAGTCACTTATAATTAGGGCTGCACGATTTGGGCCAAAATGATAATCACGCTTATTTTGATCAATATTGCGATCACGATTAATTATCACGATTATTTGTTGATTTTAACCAAAACAAATTTTATTGCCACATAGGCTAATTATAACTGCTTTCACATCCATATTGTGCTACATTTCTGCTAATGTATGTGTATCTAAATAAAATAGGTCCTCTTATTCACCAAAATTCAGTGCATCTCCTTAAAGAATAAAGAAAACAATAAAGAAAATGTAGCAAAACTTCAACAGGGCACTATTTTACATTTTACATTGTGTAAATCTATTTTAGGAAGCAAAATATAAACTTGCATTGTACCTGCATAATGGATGTGAATAAAACACGCAAAATATACAATCAATAAAAAAACAAATATTCCATAACAGAATGTAACCAAATGAGAACATTTCAAGGCAGAACTGCACTATGGAAGTTCGATTAATGGATGAAATTCAGAGTCATTGTTATTTGACGCTTAATAAATGTAAAATGTTGTGGTAGGCCTACAGTGTCAGTGATTAGTTGTGAAGTCTTACTGCATAAATTTAATCTATTTAATTCTCCATGTGAAAGTTTATGTGCTCAAATTATTTCTATTTGTTAAACAATAGGTCAAAACAAGACGTTTGTAGGACTGATTATTGGAGTCCATTAATCGAACTTCCATGCCTCTTATGTAAGGGTTAATGCCCGACGAGGTGTCCGTTGTCAGGTTTTAATGGACGACGGCGAGGTGTAAACCGGCCGACGCGCAGCGGAGGACGGTTGCCTCCGCCGAAGTCCATTAAAACCTGACAACGGTCACCTCGAAGGGCATTAACCCGCTTATACCATGGTCACTTGCCAAATAAAACATTTTTAAAACATTAGTTTATATTTTAATTAGGCTAAATCTAGTTTTTTCAAATAATAACTTGCCTGACGATTTATTTAGCAACTTGAGATATTTATAGTCCGCTCAGCTTGTAGAACCCTTCAGGTTCAAAAATGCATTTTTTTTTTCATGAAACACAAAGGTAGGCATAGTTATTTTTTTATTGCACATAAAACACTTTGTGTTACACTAGTCTACACTAACCACAGCCTCCGAAGCACCGCTGTAGGTCGACTCTCCGATGCTGGACTGGAGAGCCGTCAAATAAAGTCGGTGACAGGCCATCGATGCGAGAGCAGTCTGCGGGCTTACTGGGCTCCGTCAGTCCGTGAGAGACTGAAGATGAAATAACGAACGAAGTCGCTCATTGTAGTAGGCTATGTAATATCTAACTAACGTTGACTGCCTGTTGCTATGGTTACTCACACAGCTGTTGTAGGCAGCGCATTTATTTATTAATTTCGAATGGTAAACAGGCAGTTTCACCAGAACTACTTTAGTTGTCCTCTATCACTTTTTAACGGACACCCTGCAGCCAATCAGAATCGAGTATTCACCCAGACCATGGTATAAATAGTAAATATATATATGTAGTATGTACCAATTTACTAATGCAATTTACTAATGCTCACACTCGGTCTCTCACGCGCACTGTCACTCAGTCTCTCTCGCGTGCGACACAATCGGTAGGCGCGCGCTGTTGCTCGCACGCAGACACACTCGCGGTCTCTCTCGTGCACTGTCGCTCGCACGCAGACCGTAGGTCTCTCTCGCGCACCTGGGCTCATGGAGGCACGTGATCAGACACTGGTTTACGGTGCGCTAGATTGGCAAAAAAAAAGCTTTCTGTGAACTGAATGACGCATTTAAAATATCGCTCGATCACGCGAATTTGATCGTGGGAAGCCAAAATCGTGATCGTGATTAAAATTCGATTAATCGTGCAGCCCTACTTATAATTTGCATTTGGGAACGCAAAATGTGCCATTGCCAACCATCTTACCAAATTCATTAAGGGAATAGTTTATAAATCTGTTATCAGCAAAGAGAAGCGTTAAGGCCTCTCTGTGGTTTTCCGCCAAAATGAAAGCTCAATGGTTTAACGTTTGAAAGCAAAGAAAATAGGACAACCATAAATGTTAGTATTGTATTGTATCGGTCAGGTTTTAGCTTCTTTTTGTCTTTTGCTGCGTTAGTTTTTTTTCCACCTGGGCATGGTTGTTTGTTTATTATTAACAAAGTTCTATTTTTAGCAAATGTAAAGGCCCTTTCACACCAAAAGTGAAATAATAAGCCTCAGGCTGAAGGAAATGCAAACTCATGCCTATACAGTAGAGAGCACAGCTCAAACAAACCTTTCAGCTCTGAACTGCCATTCCGAACTGCAGCAGAATAATTTAACACACTTTTTTCAGCAATAAAAACATAAGATAATGAAACACAAATGTGTTTATCTAAAGTCATTTTTGCTTAGTATGGTTTAATCATCCAGGTGGATGCTGCACATTGGTGGTGATTGAGGAGATTCCCCCTTCTATGTAAAGTGCTTTGAGTGCTGAGAAAAGCGCTATATAAATGTAATGAATTATTATTAGTAGTATTAATTAGATCATCGAAGGTCAGCAGCAAAGACATTGGTCAATAAAGTGAGATTAAAAGGGATAGTTCACCAAAAAATGAAAATTCTGTCAGTAATTACTCACCCTCATGTTGTTCCAACCCCGTAAGACTTTCGTTCATCTTCGGAACACAAATTAAGATATTTTTGATTAAATCTGAGAGCTGGATCACTCCTCCATAGGCTTTTAAGGGATTGAAACTTGCCGGCCCAGAAAAGTTATTAAAGACATCGTTAAAATAGTCCAAGCGACTACAGTGGCTCAATCTTAAGTTTATCAAGCGACGAGAATACTTTTTTTGCTAAAAAAAAACAAACAAAAATAACGACTTTATTCAACTATTCATTTCCTTCTCTGTGGGCCTCGAGTTAGTTCACGTAGTGTAACAGCGCAGCGCTTCTGTGTTGTACGTCACACGTAGGCTCACTATTGGCCGACGCTGGTCATGTGTGTGATGCGTGTGACGTACTACACAAAAGCGCTGCGCTGTTACTCTACGTGAACTCACTCGAGGCCCACAGAGAAGGAAATGAATAGTTGAATAAAGTTGTTATCTTTGTTTGTTTTTTTTGCGCACAAAAAGTATTCTCGTCGCTTGATAAACTTAAGATTGAGCCAGAATGATGGAACTCGTTTCCTGGTTTTGGTCTACAAAAATATGACATCCCTGCAGTACTCTATATAAGACAACTGAAAATCACTTTTTTGTAAACCTAAATGTTTTGGAGGAAATGACTCCTTATATATGACCCTGAGGAGTATCATAAATTGTTTTCTATGGCAAATGTCTGTTATTTTTTTGTTTGTGCTTTTTATTATAAGTTCAGCCACAGCCCACCTGAGAGGAGAGATGAAGCTGTCTTCTCTGCTGTGGCTGTACTCATGGTGATCATTTGTGATGAGTCATGCATCTCTCTGTACCTTTATCTCTCAGGGATGTTTGCTAATGCAGAAGGCATATCTCAGCGTGCTCCGGTGAGCTGGTCTGAGAGCGTGATCGCGGCGGCTGTGTGTTTCCCGTATGTGGTCGCGCTGGATGAAAGCTTTGTGACCGTTCACAGCATGTTGGACCAGCAGCTCAAACAGACACTGTCATTCAGAGATGGACACCTTATGCAGGATTTTGAAGGTATTCCCATACATTTAGCATTTTCACCCTTAGGGGCGGTTCACGCAGACCGCATTTTTGCTGGTAAAAACACGAGACCTAGGTCAGTGGAACGAAACAATTTTTTACAATTCTGTTACATGTGCCAGACAGTGCAAAAGATGCGAGTTCAAACGGTTAAAGACGTCCATCTAGCGTTATGAAGTTACATTGCGTATAAGTTACGTACGCTAACTATACGTTAGACGTTACATTGAAAAACTATGGAAAAGTAGTGTAGTGCCATGAAATGGAAAAACGTGGCGCCTTACTCTGTATTCACGGTTAAAGAAGAACGTTGTTTGGAATATCAAAGCAATAGTTTAGACATAAATGAAAATTGTCGTCATTTACTCTCCTGTTCCAAACCTGTATGAATTTCTTCATTCTTTTCTTCGTCTTCTGCTAAAAAAGAAGAAACAAAAAGAAAAACAAAAGGAAGAATATGGGTAACCAAACAGTTGATGGGCCTCATTGACTTCTATAGTATGAGAGAAAAAAAATACTATGAAAGTCAATGGGGCCCATCAAATGTTTGGTTACTGACATTCTTCAAAATATCTTCTTTTACAGTATGTTCAGCAGAAGAGAGAAATTCATACAGGTTTGTAACAACTTGAGGGTGAGTAAATAATGGCAAGAATTTCCTTTTTTTTTGGTGAACTAGGCTATCCCTTAAGGTAAGTTTGCCATGCCTATTTTAAAGGAACACTCCGACTTTTTGGGACTTTAGCCTATTCACCTTATCCCCCAGAGTTAGATAAGTCCATACATACCTTTTTCATCTCCGTGCGTGCTATAAGTCTGTTTGACGCATCCACCGCTAGCCTAGCTTAGCACAAAGACTGGATGTAAATGGTTGCAGCTAGCATACTAATCCAAATAAGTGACAAAATAGCGGAAACATTTTCCTATTTACATGTTGTGATTTGTATAGTCACAGAGTGTACAAAAAACAAAGTCACATGAGACACAGACATATTTTAACCATATAAATACTGGGAACTATATTCTCTGAAGGCGAAGCACTGCTACTTGGGCGGAGTAATAACCGCAGCACCTGAGACGCGCTCTCTGCTCCTCACCACGGCTCGTCTCAGGTGCTGCGGTTAAGTTAAAATCAAGTAGCAGTGCTTCGCCTTCAGAGAATATAGTTCCCAGTATTTATATGGTTAAAATATGTCTGTGTCTCATGTGACTTTGTTTTTTGTACACTCTGTGACTATACAAATCACAACATGTAAATAGGAAAATGTTTCCGTTATTTTGTCACTTATTTGGATTAGTATGCTAGCTGCAACCATTTACATCCAGTCTTTGTGCTAAGCTAGGCTAGCGGTGGATGCGTCAAACAGACTTATAGCACACACGGAGATGAAAAAGGTATGTATGGACTTATCTAACTCTGGGGGATAAGGTGAATAGGCTAAAGTCCCAAAAAGTCGGAGTGTTCCTTTAAGGGGATAATGATTTCTTCCTTCATAGCACTTCAGAAAAACGTAGTCATGGTAATGACATATTTTAATTGAAGGGCTAAAAGTCTGTTTAATATGTCGTGCTGTTGGTACTGGTGACATTTAGGCAGTGGTGGAAAGAGTACTGAGAAATAATTTACTTGAGTACAAGTAGAAGTACTGGAAAATAATATGACTCAAATAAGAGTAAATATGTAGTTTGCTGAAAAACTACTCCAGTTACAAAGTATATTTTTCAATTTTTATCTAAAATAAGGCGATGTCAGCAATATGGAGCGCAAAACACTCTCATGTAATTTATATTTCATTCATACTGGAAGCAAGAGGGCACCCTTCTAGGAAACCCCTTCTATGGGCATCAAATATCCCTACAGCTAAATAACTAACTAGACGTTTTGACTAATGAAAACTGAAGACAATAAACACGATTGTAGTGATCTGTGTTTATCTGTGTTCTTCAAGCCATCTCAGGTATTCTCGTAAGAATGATGTATGTCTATAATGCAACGCTAATCGACATAGCCTGTATCAGAGTATAGGCCTATTATATATACATATATATACACTCACCGGCCACTTTATTAGGTACACCTGTCCAACTGCTCGTTAACACTTAATTTCTAAGCAGCCAATCAAATGGTGGCAACTCAGTGCATTTAGGCATGTAGACATGGTCAAGACAATCTCCTGCAGTTCAAACCGAGCATCAGTATGGGGAAGAAAGGTGATTTGAGTGACTTTGAACGTGGCATGATTGTTGGTGCCAGAAGGGCTGGTCTGAGTATTTCAGAAACTGCTAATCTACTGGGATTTTCACGCACAACCATCTCTAGGGTTTACAGAGAATGGTCCGAAAAAGAAAAAACATCCAGTGAGCGGCAGTTCTGTGGGCGGAAATGCCTTGTTGATGCCAGAGGTCAGAGGAGAATGGCCAGACTGGTTCGAGCTGATAGAAGGGCAACAGTGACTGAAATAACCACTCGTTACAACCGAGGTATGCAGCAAAGCATTTGTGAAGCCACAACACGCACAACCTTGAGGCGGATGGGCTACAACAGCAGAAGACTCCACCGGGTACCACTCATCTCCACTACAAATAGGAAAAAGAGGCTACAATTTGCAAGAGCTCACCAAAATTGAACAGTTGAAGACTGGAAAAATGTTGCCTGGTCTGATGAGTCTCGATTTCTGTTGAGACATTCAGATGTTCGAGTCAGAATTTGGCGTAAACAGAATGAGAACATGGAACCATCATGCCTTGTTACCACTGTGCAGGCTGGTGGTGGTGGTGTAATGGTGTGGGGGATGTTTTCCTGGCACACTTTAGGCCCCTTAGTGCCAATTGGGCATCGTTTAAATGCCACGGCCTACCTGAGCATTGTTTCTGACCATGTCCATCCCTTTATGGCCACCATGTACCCATCCTCTGATGGCTACTTCCACCATGTCACAAAGCTCTAATCATTTCAAATTGGTTTCTTGAACATGACAATGAGTTCACTACTAAAATGGCCTCCACAGTCACCAGATCTCAACCCAATCTTTGGGATGTGGTGGAACGGGAGATTCGCATCATGGATGTGCAGCCGACAAATCTGCGGCAACTGTGTGATGCCATCATGTCAATATGGACCAAACTCCCTGAGGAATGCTTCCAGCACCTTGTTGAATCTATGCCACGAAGAATTGAGGCAGTTCTGAAGGCAAAAGGGGGTCCAACCCGTTACTAGCATGGAGTACCTAATAAAGTGGCCGGTGAGTGTATATATATATATATATTTTTTTTTTCTATATATTCTTTTTTTTTTTTACAGTCTATGGTCGGCACCTTTGTCAAAGTACTTTGTACTTTAGGTGAGAAATAAATGTAGTGAAGTTGAATACTTTATTTTTATTCAACTCAAGTAAAAGTACTACAATTCATTTATACTCGAGTAGATTTTTAATTTGTTTCTACTTTAAGTACTGTAATGAAAGTATTTGCAATTAGTTACTTTCCACCTCTGCGCTTAGGTGCAGTGTATCTAAATGGCTTTTTTTTAGACAACAAAACATTGAAAATGTGTCTTTCCACTAATTTCCAGCATTCTAGAGTTGATTGGATCTCAAGACAGTAGGCTACAGCATATTAATGCACTGTACTTTTTCTCGTAACCACATTTTCAATTATGGCAAGTTAAATGTTGCTTATGCTCTATTTATAGCATCTACATTCATAGTTGAGCAAGTCATGCTCTGCAGGCTCAAAGGTGAAAACTACACTTGTTCTTTTCACTTTCCATACTTGCAGAATCTGTATGATTTTAGCGTTTGAAAAAATAATAGATAAAATCTTTTCAACAATTCATCCATGCATTTGTTGAATTGTTACATTTTATTTTTAATCAAAATGTTGTTGAAAATTGGTGACATGCAGGACTTATCCAATCATTTAGTCCATGAGTACATCAGCTCAGCTTTACAGTGCAGATACAAATTATGGTTTCATACTGGTATACCCATGGTCGCAGGTGATCATTGTTAAAAAACAACAACAAATAACTGAAAATAATGTCTTTTAAATATTAGTCTTCCACTGTTGTACCATCTCTGTGTCGGTTTTTCAATCCTTCTGAAAGCCCAGTGCAGTGTTGATATGAGTTGTATTTTGGGCTCTTTCACTTCCCTCCTTTGCTTGTAAACTCTTCTCTGAACGAGGTTTCTTTGTTTTAACTATGGATGATTCCTCAGACGGTTGCCTTTTTGAATGGTCCATTGTGGTAATAATGTTGCTCTTTAGTTATGGCCACAAGCTGTCAGAACTAACACACCTCCTCCTGTACTGCATCTTTTAAGTAGATTAACAAAATATTAAAGGGCACCTATTATGCCCCTTTTCACAAGATGTAAAATAAGTCTTTGATGTCCCCAGAGTGTGTATGTGACATTTTAGCTCAAAATACCCAACAGATCATTTTCTACAGCATGTTTAAATTGTCACTTTTTGGGGCTGAGAAAAATGCGCTGTTTTAGTGTGTATCCCTTTAAATGCAAATTAGCTGTTGCTGCCGGCCCAGAGGGCGGAGCCTCAGTAGCTCACGCTCAGGACAATCTCATCTGATAATATCAAAACAGAAACTCTCAGTAGCGGTGTTCATAACTTCATTTCGACCCGGAGTCGGACAATAATGCCCACAGGGCCAGAGAATATATGCTGTATGGAGATATAACAGGTATAGTTTAGTTTAATTACGGTTATAATTTATTTTTCATCTTGCTTTTATCCACTATTAGTAGGCTACAAGCCTGTTGTAGCAGACCGTCTCCGAATGATGAGTTTATTATACATCACACAAAAGATGAAGCATCAGTTTTACTCCAGAAAATCACCATAAGAGCTGAATAAACACAGTATAAGAAGTGTGCATTAAAGTCTTATCCATAAACTCTCTCTCTCCCTTTCATTATCATCAACATACAGCGAATTACACAAAAATTCACACAAATTAGTCAAATGATAGATGTAAA